CAGACAACAATGTAAAGAATCTTTAAGGTGCTAGAAAAAAAGGTCATAATTCCATCTCCACCAGAAAGAAGACATTTTGTTAAGAAAATACCAAAGATTTTGTTTCTGGCAGAAAAATGACTTTAGTTAGAAAGCTGAGTATGAAAATAGGAATACAAGCTGGGCACCCGTAGCTCACACCTATAATCCCAGCTATTTAGGAGGGCGAGATCTGAGGATCAGGGTTCTAGCCCAGGCAGGAGAGTCTGTGAGATCCTGATCTCCAATAAACCACTCAGAAAACTGGGAGTGGTGCTCTGGCTCAAGTGGTAGAGCGCTTGCCTTGGGTTGAAGAGCTCAGGGAAAGTGCTCAGGCCCAGCATTCAAGACCCAAACTGACCAAAAAGAAAAAAAAAAAAGAATAGGAATACAGAGCAATCAAAATACATTTATATAAATGTGTATTGTCTTGACAAAATAATAATAACTTAGTCTAGTTTAAAAATTGGATTTGCAAATAATGACATTTCCTGGATTGAGAATATTGTGTTAACAATCTGACATCCTTGTATGGGAAAGGAATAAAGTAAAAATGAATAGTGATGTTTAGTCATGTTGTAAGCTCTAGAGTGAACAAGTGTATAACTTCCAGGCTAAAGAAAGGAAATAGGCAAAGATTCTCTTGTGTACCCCTACTCCCACCCACACACAGATGCACATAAGCCAAAGGAATTTACAAGAGGCAGGACATATAGAAAACATATTATTTAAAGGTTCATGTAAATTGTACCATGTTAATAGGATCAGTTAAAATTCAGAAGATTGATTGGATGAAGAACATAAAGCAGTTAAGATGCTGTTTGTAGGATCATTGTCATGTAAAATATAAGGATAACAAAAGATTGAAATAAAAAAAAATGAAAAGTCAAATTTTTATTTAGAAATCAACTTACTTACTGTAGTCTTTGTTTTGTTTTGGTTTTTAGCTGGTCCCGGGGCTTGAACTCAGGATCTAGATGATGTCCCTGAGCCTCATGTGCTCCAGGCTAGCACTGTACCACTTGACCCACAGCACCACTTCCTGATTTTTCTGAGTAGTTTATTGGAGATGACTCTTAACAGACTTTTCTGCCTGGGCTGACTTCAATTGTTATCCTCAGATCTCAGCCTCTTGGGTAGTTGGGATTATAGGCATGAGCTACCAGTGCTGGCCTATTTTAGTTTTTAATTTTAGTATCTCCCCCTCCCCCTCCCCCCTGCATTATTGGATTGAACTCAGAGCCTCCTGCCAGCTTGCTAGGCAGGTGCTCTGAGATAGGGTCTCTTCTACTTGTGTATTACCATGTTGCTGGGGGTGATGGTACATGCCATACTCATACTCATTTATTGTAGGAGATATGGAGTATTGGGAATTTTTATGTTTTGGCTGGCCTCAGACTTCAATGCACTGGTTGTCTCTACCTCCCAAATACAATAGGTTTGAACCACTTCTCCTGACTGATTAGTTTAAAATGTGTTAAACTGCAAGAGGCCAGGAATAAAGATGCTTTTGAAGAAAAGCTTGTACTTATTACATATTAAGGCTTACCATAAAGTTATACCAGTTAATGCAGTGTGATAGTGAACCAAGGATCAAGTGGAAAAGAAATGGAATAAAATGGAATAGAATAGAGTGCCCAGAAAGTTTGTATTAATGACAGGATATATTCTGAGAAACACACTGTTAGACAGTTTGGTTGTTATGTGAACATAAGAGAATATTTTTACAACTGTAGAGGATAGCATATCTCAGGGAAACATGGTAAATATGAGCTATTAGGATCATGCTAATTTTTTTTATTATTCTTGTTTCTTTTTAATGTGGCTTTGGGCTTTGAACTCAGGGTCTTACTGTTGGTAAGCACTTTACTACTTGAGCCTTTACCCCTTACTTTTTTTTTGTTTTTCAAATTTATTTTTCAGATAACATGCTTTTCTTTGAATCATCCTCCCAAATAGTTGCATTTGCCACCATGCTCAGCTCTCATGTTGTTTTACTATAAGCTATTACAATTCTTGTAAGTTGGGCTCCAATCTTAAGTTAGTGATGAAACATGGGTTCCACTTGATTGTTTGTAATTAAGTACAGCTCCTTGGCAGAGGCCATAGGGGAGTTATAGTTCTAGGCCAGCCCTGACCAAAGAACAAAAACCACAAAGCCTTCTTGAAAACAGTTTAAAGCAATAGGGGATGGGGAAGTGGCTCAAATGGTAGAGCTTCATTCAACAGATTTAGCAAGCTGAGACCTTGAATTCAATCCCCAGTATCACCAAAATCAATCAGTAAAAAATGCCAATGACATAATATAGTAACATAGTCATTTATTACTGTGCATAATGGTGTGTGTTCTATTTCTGTATAACTGGCAATGCAGTCACTGTGTTTACAACAGTATCACCACAAACATGTGAGTGATGTATTCAGCTATGATGTCACTACATTTTATGAATTTCTCAGCTCCCTAATGTCTTACGGCCAACTGTCTGTACATGTGGTCCGTCCTTGTCTGAAATATTATTATATAGTACATGAATGTATTTATAAATGTTTATGACTGTAATACCACTGCAGAGCAACAATTGAGAAAAGATAATCTCATAATAAAATGACCTTTAGAAGTCAATTCTTAGTACATTATAGACCTAAATGTGAAATGCATAACAAGCTTCTGAAAGATAATATAAGAAGGTATTTTGATGACATTGGGGTGAGCAAAGACTTCTTTTAAACAAAACACAGAAAATAACTGTGAAGAGAAGATTGTTAACTATATTACATTAGACTTTATCATTTCTCCTGAAGAGACCATAAGCGTGAATGTAAGAGACCACTAACGTGGAAGAAGGCAAGCTACAGGATGGATGAAGCTATATACATGTTTCCACCAAGTAGAAACAAATACGAAAATTTTAAAAGAATACTGTGAATATCAGTATACATGGGAAGGGATCAATCTTAGTAGCTAGAGGACTGCCAATTGAAACAATAAATACATCAGAATGTCTAGGAAGGAAACACTGACAGTAAGTTTATGTGTGTGTGCATGCTGGTCCTAGGTCTAGAACTCAGGCCTGGGTGCTGTCATTGAGCTTTTTTGCTGAAGGCTGGCACTCTACCACTTGATCCACAGCTCTACTTTTGGTTTTTTGGTAGTTAATTAGAGATAAGAGTCTCAAGGAGATTCCTTCCCGTACTGGCTTGGAGCCAGATCTTAGCCTCCTGAGTAGCTAGGATTACAGACGTGAGCCATGGCACTTGGCTGACAGTAAGTTCGGGGGAGAAATTTTATCAAAACAATTTTGGCTTGGGGGTTTTAAACGTGTGCAATTGTTTCTGCACCATCCAAAGGGGATGTGTGTGTGTGTGTGTGTGTGTGTGTGTGTGTGTGTGTGTGTGTGCATGTGAATGAGTACATGAATACATGAATGTATATGTACATAATTTCTCTTATCTGCAGCATCCTTTTCCTTAAGAATCAGTCCCTAGTCTGTTTCTTTGTCTTGTCTTCTCTTTCATATTAGAGCTCTTCCTAAAGTATTTGGTGAACCTTATTTTTCTTTTCATGCTTCAGTGTGAAGCATTGAAAATTTGAAGTGGAAGTTCATGCGTGTGAACAGAGCTTGTCCATTATTAGCTTTTATTTTAGGCTATCGAAGTCACAGCCTTTGAGATGGGAATCAAATAATGGAATATTGGGGCTATTTTCCCCCCCAATTTTTCTTCTCTTGGTTTTTTTCTAGGAAGAAAACTCTAGCTTATCACATGCAAGTCAGATGTCTCTTGGATTTCAGTGGATTTAGACGATCAGTTCTTTGCTCTTTTCCTATAGTTTTTCTTTCTTAGTGTCAAGTCGTAATTGAGTTCTCAAATTTTCTATTGGTAATGTCTCTAAAATTCTAAGCTCAATTGTTGAATATCATAAAGAATGTGGTCTCTCAAATGGTCTTTGTAGTAGAATTGAGAGACTATTAATTGTTAATGATGTGCCAGATCTTGTTACTTGTGTTGTGCTACAAGCAGGATGCTTACTATAGTTCTCCAAATACTATTTACAGACTGAAGGTTGTGAGTCTTGACTGTGAGTTAAAGACCATGGTGTCTCAATATCCTGGGGTTGGGAGGCTTTTATCTTTGTACTATCTACCTTTCTACAATCAGTTGTTTAATAGAAAGTATTATGACTGAGCTACTTTGTGTGGCAGAGTAAGAATCACTGATATATAGAAGATTGAAGAAGTATTGTGCTTCTTAATTCTTCATGGAAGTCATTTTTGTAGAATTAGCATCAAATATTTTGTCATCTGTTTAATATACTCTGATTTAGATTGTATATGAATAGTATACCAATGGACAATTCATTATTAGTACCTATGGCATATTGTTACAAATTCATAAGTTATATTTAAGCATACCAAAATTGAATATAAAATAATGAATTAAGGAATAGTTGCACTCTGTATTTAGCAAGAAATTTATGAGAGATCTTATACATGTTGTAAATGTATGCCTTAAAATAATTTTAAAAACCAGAAGTTATGGCTAATAACTGAGGTCTTAGATATCTGAGAATCTGAGAGGATTTGAAGGCTCATAATTCGAGGTCAGCCCAGGCAAAATGTTCCCCAGACCTCATCTCAGCCAGTAGATGGACACAGTGGTATGTGCCTGTATCTCAGCCACACCGGTGGCCAAGAGTAGGCCAGGAGGATCATGGTTCCAGGTCAAGCCTGAGCCAAAAAAAAAATGAATGAGAAGTCATCTCTAGAGAACAAGTTAGGTATGGCTGCATGCACTAATTGTCCCAACTATGGCAGGAGTAGTATGTAGGATATGCTGGCCTAGATAACACCCTACCTCAGAAATAGCCAGCAAAAAGGCCTCACTTTAAAAGTGCCATGCTAGCAAGTGTTAAGACTGCTCTTTCCTCTCCTCCTAAACTTCAGAAAGTAAATAATTTTTGTGACTTTATTTTTTAATTCCAGTTTAATTTTGTTGGGAGAATCCTTGGACCGAGAGGACTTACAGCCAAACAGCTTGAAGCAGAAACAGGATGTAAAATAATGGTTCGAGGCAAAGGCTCAATGAGGGATAAAAAGAAGGTAAGCCCCTGAATACCAACAAGTCTTGATGATTAACTCATACTTTGGCATTCTTAGTAATAAAGCTCTATATTAACTCACAGTTTGTCATTCTAGTAATAAAGCTCTAAATCGTATAGAAGTTGAGCGTCATATTCATGTTGGAAAACTAGAAACATTTTAAAGGTGCTCCCTTGATTTTTCCCTGCCTATTCACATTTTTCATTTAAGAATTGGTGACCAGTTATCCTAGCATGTTAACTTACCTCGGGAATACACTTGTGAACATAATTTGCAAATTAGAGAATCACGTATCTATAAAAACATGCAACCCAAAGTTTGAAAAATCTCAGTGTTTCCTCTTCTTGTTTTTGATTGTGTTAAGAATGGAACCATTGCGCATGATAGAAGAGCATTCTCAACCCTTTCCTAAAAAATTCCTAAGACAGTGTCTCACATCCCTAGTCCTTTATGGAAACATTCCCTAAGTGTCTTGCTTCAGCAAAAATGGTCCTTTTGATGTAATTTAAGTGAAATGGGTCAGATGAGTGACTGGATTCATGGCAAGTCGTTGAGACAAAAGATGTGGAAATCTGTTAAAATGAAAGTTAACCATATGAGACTGGTTCCAACATTTTGTCTTGATTATAACAAGTATAAAACACGCTGATTCTATTGTCTAGTTTAGTCTCCTGCCATTTCTTGTTTAATCAGCAAATGTTGAGCCTAGCTATTTTTAAAATAGTTTTGAGAAGAGTTCATTATTTATCTAGCTCTCTTTAGTAATATTGTAAGATAGAATATTTCCTATTTAGGTTTATAAAATGACTTTTTAAAAATACCCACACTTTGATTGTGAAGTAATAAAATTATTTGGGGGAAGAGTGGTTTTTTTTTTTTTTAAATACATGCATTCAAACTTAGAGGAGCTCTCAAATATACTGTGTCATTCAGGTGGAGTTCCTGGAATGAACATGAAACCCAAAGATATCCAGATACCATTCATTGTGCTTTTGTTCAGAGCTTCCCACGAGCTGAGGCTAAGCTGAGTGCATTTCAGCTTTTTTGTTCCCTGCAGACAAAATGATTTAATAGATATGAAGTTGAAATTGAAAAGTCTCCAATAATACTAATTTTCTTTGGTCATATTATAATTTAGACTTTTCAGTTGAATTTACAAAGTATTTTTATGGGAATATGTGAGTTCTTACACTAGTTTTATTTTGACTTTTAAATCTCATCTTACGGTATTCTTCTCAAAAAAGTACTGCCGTATTTGAACTTAGGATGGCAGTGCCTGGGGACATTGCATGCAGTCTTGATAAGTGAAATCTGTCTTCATGACAATATTCATGTATATCCATTAGAAGTAATACCTCAGGTAAGAAAATACCTTTTTCTTTGTCCTGAGTCTTGTAGTCATGGCCCTCTGCTCCCTTCAAGCAGCCACACATATGCACAGGCAAGTTTTGGAGCTTAAATATGTTTAGACATTATACATAGAGAATTTTCTGTAGTCCTGGACAGAAGAACGGAATAATAAAGAATGAGCTCTGATCATAAAATGTTTAAGTTTAAATCTTCTTTCTACATTAGATAAGCTTTGTGTGACCTTGGACTAAAATGTAACCTCCTAATGATGTGTAATGTGGGAGTAGTAATTATCACTTAATCTCTCCTAATGAATATGAGAGTCACATGAATTGTAAAGAACTTAGAACAGGTTTTATCACCTAAAAGTGATCAATTAATACTCATGATAATTTTTAATGTATTTTGTTTTAAACAATAGGCTAGGTACAATATTTTATTTTTAGACTCTTACATTGTATTATAAGGAAGATGACAACTTTTTCAGCTTTGAGAATGAACTTACTATCTGTGTCCTACATAATTGTAGCCTTTCTGGTTTGTTTCTACAATGACTGCTATTTCCAAATTTTGTTTTGACCATTTGTTCTTAACCACAAATAGAAATAGTTCACATATTTTATTTTCTACTATTGTCTACTGAAATAAAATCTTACAAATGATAAACAATGTAATAAAAACAAATTAGCAAATTAAGAGACCAGAATAAAATTCAGCTACAGATTACATGTTTATTTTCATTAGATGCTATAAATGAACATGTTTTGATGAAAGATGTTAACTTGAATGGCTTCTGTATAGTTGTTATTATCCTTTGTGAATTTTGAGAATTTGTATATAAATATACTAGTTCTGTAGAATATAATAAATTATTAACTCGTCATGGTTTATGCTGAAATTACTCAGATTTTAAGTGTGAATAATAAAGTCATTTGGTCTTTGCTGTTTATATTTGGGCAAAGAACATGGGAGCAGATAAGCATTGATAGAGGTACTAAGGCTGATAGAATTATATCTTAAGTTACAAAGGAAAACAAAAAGCTCTTTGACTTTAAGCCTTTCTATCTACTTATCAATACATGTTAAAACTATAAAACCAGAAGAATTTACTGATTGCTTCTTTTACTTTTAACAAAAGTGTGATGGAAATGCTTTGGTTAGTCTGAGTCCTTTAATGAAGCATAGACTACGTTTTATGGCGTTTTTGCTGTTTGTTAAGCACCTTGTACAGAGTAGGCACTAGACACAGTGCTGTATTTAAAAAATAGTGACAGATAATAAATGACAGAGAGATGTTCCTCTTCCTTCCTGGCTCCCCTGAAAAGGATTTTTGCAAATGAAAAAAATTGTAAGTCCCCTCGGTTTTGGGGCCTGAACTCTGGGCCTGGGCACTGTCCCTCAGCTCTTCAGCTCAAGGCTAGCACTCTACCACTTGAGACACAGCACCGTTTCTGGCTTTTTCTGCTTATGAGGTGCTATGGAATCGAACCGAGGGCCTCATGCATGCAAGGCAAGCACTCTACCTGAGCCAACTTCCCAGCCCAATTTTTAATTCTTTTGAGAGAATTAATATTTCACTTTATTTCTCATTCTTTTGATTTGATATTACATCTTTATTGATGGGTTTAAAAGCAGTTTTCCTCCAAAATTTCTATTCCACTGTGGAACCTGTAGATAGGAACTACCTTTGAAGACATGAACAGTTGTGAGAGGACTTTTAATAATGATTAAGAACTTCTTGTCTGTACTGGTACATAAAGCTGTGTCCATCTGTATCTGTCGGTGTCTGTGGCAGTAGGGAATTGCTAGAAAACATTTTGCTAGTGAAAATGAGCTATTTTTTGATAATTCTATGGTGCACACTTTTGTCAAACACTATTCTAAATAGTTCATCGATGTTTGTTTAGATTAATTTGAGTTTTATTAAATCTGTTTTGTATATGAGGAAACTGAGGCTGGGGCAGGTTGTATGCTTTGAAGAGATGCATGCCCAAAAGTCATAGTCAGGATTTGAACCTAATGCCTGTGCTCTGTTCTTTGGTATAGTGCCTTCTAATTGTTATAGTTATTTCTAAGAGTGATTAATAACTTAAGAAATACTAGAACAACTTGAATGTTGTGAAACACTGAGGCCACAGTTGGAGGTATGGCTCAGTTAGTAGGGCACCTGCCAAGGAGCCTACATTGACACAGAGCTAATTCAAATCCTGGTCTCAGATGAAAAATAAAATGAGAGAGAACAGTGAGGTTAATAGCAATATATTCTGTAAACTTAAGTTTTTATTTTGTCCTCAAAATAAAAAAAATTCAAATTTGCTTTAAAATTCTGTTTTAAACATAGGATGCAAACCAAAGTGCTTTTTTCTGCTGTCTAACAACATTGAGTGTATTGCTATGGTGGGGATTTCTTTACACATTCCAACCCCAGCCCAGTACTCAGCTCTTCAGGAGATGCTTCTCTGGATGTCATACTCACTTCCCTGTGAACACTTGTCAAACATCCGGATGCTGTCTATAAGGACAAAGTAGCAGATCCTAGGGGTTGTGGCACTTAGTTTCACTTCAGAAGCTGTTTGCAGCCCTCAGTTGTGACCTATGTTTCTGACCCATCAACTTTGAATTTCTTTTCCACCAAGACTGTCCTTAAGTTTGCTTTATTTGCTAAAGTAGGCTCAATAGAAGTTAGGAAACCACTTTTACCATGTTTATTAATTAATTATGACGGATACTAAATATACCTGGAAGAATAGCCAGAAGAAGAGGTGCCAAGAGGAAGGCATGGGGAGTGGTTACAAAGCTTCCCATTACCTCTGGGAAGTGCCACCTCTGGTGCTTCAGTTCTTTGAACTGTTGGGTTTTTGTGGAGGCTTCTCTGAGGAGTGATGATTGGTGACCCATTCAACCCTCCCCTTCCCTGCCCTCCCTTTCCTGGAGGAAAAGAAGTCTCGTGTGCAATCTTTGGATTGCAGCCATTTAAGAACATTTCAAATGGATCTGTTTATTAAATTCAATGTAGGTTTGTTTTTACTGGAAATATTCAAGTTATTTGTCTATTAATCTGGGGTATTGTATCTGGGGTATCCTTACATGAAAAACAGAATCAAATCATTCACTTTTTTGTTGTTGGTCCCATCAGCATAGATTCCATAGTCTCGTGTGTGTGTGTGTGTGTGTGTGTGTGTGTGTGTGTCTGTGTCTGTGTCTGTGTGGTATCCTTACATGAAAAAACAGAAATCATTCACTTCTTTGTTGTTGGTCCCATCCCCATCAGCATAGATTCCATAGTCTCGTGTGTGTGTGTGTGTGTGTGTGTGGTGTGTGCGCGTGCATGCGTGCGTGCCCTTCCGTGCCTGCCTGCCTGCCTGCCTGCCTGCCCGACCGCCCGTCCACCCCACCACTGGGGCTTGAGGTCTTGCCCAGCAGTGTTTGTTGCTCACAGCTGGTCCTCTATCACTAGAGCCACATCTCCAATTCCACAACTCCAAGTTTCAATTATGATATTAGTTCCCCTAGCAGCCACCCCCCACTCGGAAAGCTAAGAACTTTTAGGTGTTGGTTAGGTTATTATTCCAAAGACACTTATTTAGGAACTCTGTTGCCAAAAAACAAATACCAAATGCACACATATGTGCACATAAAAAATTAATGAT